ACGTGGCTGACAGCATAGCGCAGGACTCGTTGATTTAAGCACAATAATAATTTCACGATATTTGTATAAATTTGCAATTGCATTTTATTGAGCAACGGCGAACGCATAAAATTTACATAAACAGTTGTGACCCACTCTGTGTGGTAAGTAAACAATTGGAGAGACAAATAAACAGACAGACAGACAGCGGACAGACGCACAGACAGACAGCCTGACATGTTATTACTCATACGACGTGTGGGCCAACGAGCATGAGCAACGAAACGACTTTCAGCTACGCTTTTGCTAGTTGTTGGTATGTTGGATATTACACAAATATATAATCAAATTTGTCTTACTATAATGCTAAACATTATTGGAAAGTGTTTTAAAAAAGTGCTTTAATTTCTGAAAAGTGTTGGAAAGCGTTTTAAAATAGACGATTTATTGGTGTTGGCTATTTTACATTTATATTATTAAATATTCAATGAGTATCTAAAATAGTAAACAATAATCTCAAAGAATCTTAAGTCAAATTTTTAGCATTCTCTATAATTATTAACATTTTTTTTCTCTATTGCCTTTCTTCGAATACATAGTTAGGGTATTTCATTACGTTCTTCCATAATTAAGTTTTCTCTTGTCTTTGTTTTTAATTAAAACAACGACTCATTAACTTTTTAATTTGCCAACTTGATGGCTTTAAAGTGCTGCACTTGCAATGCTGCATTGTTCGAGTAATTTGCCGGCTTTAACTGGAAGATAACAACAACAACAAAAGCAACAAAAAATTGCGAATGAGAAAACTGTTGGCAACAATTTCATTGACACAATTCCCTTTTATGCAGAGAGGCAAACAAATAAAACAAAGCAAAAAAAAAAAAAAAGAAATTGTCAGCGACAAAATCGATGCCCTGAAAAGGCAACGAAATAAAACAAAACAGCCAAAAGCAAAAGTCGCAGTAAATTGCACAAAATGTGCACAAGTACGCTCTGTAGTGGCCCCCTCTATCTATCTTCTTCTCTCTCCATTACTCACACACACACACACACACCCTTGCTATATACTGCCAACAGTTGTACGTGTCATTTGGCTGCTGTTTTATTTGGTCGAGCATAATGCGAGTTTATGTTTATGGTGCAGTCCCTGAAACTGGGCTGATCTTGCACTCGGCGAAGCAGAAAATAACCAAAATAAAAACATGAATAATATTTAAAGAGCTATGCGATGTGCTGTTGCTATAAATATCCTATAAAAGTATGGTAATCAAATTTGCTATAGTTTCTTTAGTTTCTTTGGTTTGGAATGCTAATGGGATAATGAATTGAAAAAAGTTGTAAAATTAATTTCGGAGCACAATTTGAGTCATATTTCTGCCTACGAACTTAAGTTTGATGAGCAGATGTAACGTGCTATAATAAAATATAATAGTTAGGGTATATCATAGTCTAGCTAATCCTAAGCACTTTGACTTTCACAGCGAATTCTGCAAATTCTTAAAAATAGATTTGAGGCTGGCATTTTAGGACACGGCCAGTTACTTGGGCACGTCCTAATACTATTTGTAAGCTAGAGGGAGAGAGAGAGAGAGACACTGACACAGAGAAAGTGAAGAGATGCAGAGAGCGAAGAGCAGTGGAAAACGAGGCAGCTGCAAGCCACATGCTTTTCTAGCTAGCCAGACAGGCAGGCGACATTTTTGGCGAAATATAAATAAAAATGGAAAGTTTGCATACAAAACTGAGGGAAAAAAGTAAATGGCGCACAGGAAGAAAAACAGCAGGAAGGTAACTAAAAACGGAAACGAAAGCAAAAGCCAATGCAGTAGCAGCGGCAGCATCAGCAGCAAAAGAGGGACAGCGGCTGAAGTAAAATGAAAAAAAAAAATAAAAGAAAAGCGGAGCAGCTGCCAGCTGAAGAAGCTGCTAAATCAGGTCAGGGATTTGGATGCCGCTCTTGCGTCGAGTTCTATATATAGATAGATATATATTTATATGCAAAAATACCCTGTACTTATTATGCAAGGGCATACAGTAGGCATGTGATATGATAACTGTTATTTATTTCAAGTTAAAAAAAATGTTGCCTTGTAATTAACAAAGAAGAAATCGAAAAGTATCTAATAATCTACAGGGTATCTTGTAGTATATCATACACTGTTCTTAATCATCTTGTCTTTGCTGTTGTTTTTGCTGTTGCTGCTGCTATTACTTTGTGCCATTTGTTGTGGCACATTGTCGTTGATTTCTGTCTTTTACACTTTTCAAAAGAAGAGAAGAGAACACAAATTGCGTATACGCCGCGTGATGCCGAATGCAATGCAATTTGCCAGACCGGGCATTAATTTAATTACGAAAACAGCAAAATTTGTGCTCCAAATGAATGCTTTTGCAGAGTTCGCAGCTAAAACAGCTGTGTGTGTGTGTGTGTGCGGCATGCCACATGCCCCGTCCGTCTGCAGCGAGAGCTGCAGCCTGCTGGCTTTTTGTGTCACTGGAGCAGAGACACAGCCAAGTCGTTTTGTGTGGAAGTGTGAAAGGCAACTTTGGCCGACAACCACAAGCTGCATTTTTAATTGCGCACACGTGCGAGCTGAACACTAAGAAGTAGAAGTAGTAGTCGAAGAAGAAGAAGAAGAAGAAAAAGAACAAGTAAGAAGGCTCTAGTCGAGACTGCTCGACTAGGAGATACCCTGAACCCTCTAAGCTGATATTCTAATCATTCTGCACTTTTATGCACACACACATACACATGCATCCACACGCACGCATAAGCCTGCGCTCTGCTAACTGCGCAGTAAGCAGCGACTGCGCTTGGGCTGCGCTGCAGTGTGGGCAATATTATGAGAATTTTTTTGTTGAATAATTTCTTTTGTAGACATACGATCTTAATAAAACTTTCAGAGCGTAATTATATGGTGAATACGTGTGTACATTCCAAAGCACAAGTCTCTAGTACTTGAAATGCGTTTTTTACAAATTGGGGGCGAAGGGGGCGTGGTATCCAAAATCTGTAAATTACAAAATCTTTATATCCATTAACTTTATATACAACTCAAATTTGAAGACTCCAGGTCTAAAAATGTTCAAATTAGGCTGAAAAAACAAAATCAATTTTTCGATTATTCTCGATAAAAAAGTTATCGGACGATTTATCGAAAAAATAAAGCAAACTCGTACTGCGTATGGTACTCACGAGTATGCATGCCAAATTTCAGCTCTCTAGCTCTTATAACTTCTGAGATCGACGCACTCATACGGACGGACGGACGGACGGACGGACGGACGGACGGACGGACGGACGGACGGACGGACAGACGGACAGGGCTATATCGACTCAGCTCGTCACGCTGATCAAGAATATATATACTTTGTGGGGTCTGCCACGCCTCCTTCTGCCCGTTACATACTTTTTCACAAAACCATTATACCCTGATTTCCCATTTTCAATGGGTTCAGGGTATAAAAAGAACATGAAGTAGAAGTGTTAGTAAAAGGGCATCTGTCAGTGGGCGTGGTGTGCCAGTGTTTGGCCAGAGGCGGCTGCTGCTTGAACTCATTTAGCGTGGAAATTATGTTGCGCTCAAGTGGATTTTGACAGGTCACATACAACACATAGGGCGCGAGTCGCCGAGAGAGAGAGAGAGAGAGAGAGCGAGCGTCGTAGTAGCACTCGCACACATCCTTGAATCCTTTGGCATGTTTTGTGCTCGTTTTTCGATCCCTGACCCTCCCACTACTCGGCAGCTGGAATGCCTGCAGCTGCCACAAATTGGGGCCATTTGAAGCTGTTGGATGCTCAGGGCCTTCTGTCTAATTGATATGCAATAAACATTGAGCGCCAGACAGGCGTATCAATGAAAAGCCCTGCATATTGCCCAACTGACAGCCATGACAGGCAAAAGCTCTGCCAGCAGGCATTTATTTGCCAACCCCCACAGCAACTCTACAATGTCTCTCTCTCTCTCTCCCTCTCTCTCTCTCTCTCTATAGCTATCTTGCTCTATATCTATCTGCTACTTGCAACATTTTGAAGCAGCATTTCAACTTTTGTTTTGCTTGAGTTGTTGCTGCTACTTCAGGTTCTGCTGCTGCTGCTGCTCCTGCTGCTCATGTTGATGCTGTTGCTGCTCCAGCTCTGGTTCCTTGTTGCCTGTCAAGTATTTAAGTCTAATGCGCTTAGTTGTAGCTCCATGTGATTCCCTGTATTAATAGATTAATAATAGCCGAGTTGGAGTCATGCAGGAGTCAGCGAGTTCAAAGGACACAAATATTTATGATTATAATGATCTAAGATGTAATCTAATGTAAAGATAAATATAGTTTGAGTATTATTGATCGATAAATGCTGATTAATTAATCAAGCTTCGATCTAGCAGACAGTTTTTTGAAAGGATATTAGGTCTTAACTGATATTTTAGAGGCAATCAATGACTTCTTGTATATTTCATTAGCTGAAAAATGATCTCTAACTATACTAATAGAAAATGTTTCGATTTATATCGATTTTCAGCTAAACTTTTGAAATGCGATATATCAAAGTTCTGGAAGAAGAGGTTAGTCAATAAAATGTTTTACTTGTCGAGTATAAAAAGTTTATTTATAAGACAAGATATGCTGAAAAATTCAAACAGATGAAATAAATGTAATACCCTGTATCAACAATGCCTCATATAAATAACAGATGCTTGCAATTCTATAAAATGAGCTTGACTACAGGGTAACTACTAGTTGAGTAGTCTTAAATCTCACTCAAAGGCATTTAAGTAAATTGATTTGCAATGATATTTGTGGTAAACTTTAGACAAAAACTGTTCTCGAGCAATTGGGCCTGGCTATGTTCTAATGCCAATTTTGCATAGGATTGCGTATACGCAATATTGATTTATAATCTTAATCGAATTAGGTATTAATTGAGCAGCAGCCAATTCCAATTAGGCACTTGAGGAGTGCTACGGCTCAGCTATTGAGCTACCTAAAGCTGCAATATATAATTTGAGATTACTGCACAATTTACTTACTCATTTTGCCATGCGAAGCACTTAACAATAATTACGTATACGCCTAGTGGCGCATGGTTAAGCCGGCCACCGAAATTTGTTGTTTATTGTTGTTGTTTATCACTGCTTTTATGTATATCGATAACTTCACTTATTGTATTCTCACTGCAATAGTTGATAAACTTGTTATTAATACAGAAGCAGATGCAAATGCAGATGCAAATGCAGATACAAATACAGACACAGATACAGATACATATATAGTTATTGATACAGCTATTTGTGTAGTAGCTATATTTATTGTAATTGCACTCGTTATTTATTTAGCCTTTGCACATTTCATTGCTGGCCAAAGATTTACCATTCATATGCATATTTGATTATACTTTCTGGCCTACACCAAAAAAATGCCAACAAACACCCGCAAATTTAATTTTGTTCATTTATTTACAATTTTAATGTATTTATGCATATTGTGCAAACATTTTTCGGTTATTTTTGGCATCGTTGTTGGTGTTATGTAAATTATTTATGTTTGTCGTCGAGAGATAAGGGCAACGAAAGATGGAAAGAGAGAGAGTGGAGCAGGGCAGGGCAGGACAGGGCAGGCAATAAAGTGGCAGCTGCTTTGGCATAATCTTGCTTAAGCAACACATTTGTGCTTGATTGGCTGTGAGAATGATCATCCCTCAATGATTTAGGCAAAGCATTTGAATATATTAGAAGTTGTTGCTGACAAATATAATACGAAGCAGCTAGTGAAGTGAAAATGAAAATATATAAATATTAAGTACCAAACTAATAAATTATCATTGAGTTAAACTAAAGTCTGAATTAATTAAATTCCTTATTGAATTTGAAATGAACTTAAAATTAAAAATATTTTTATTTATATCTTATTTCATTTTCTATGTGGTATAATTACTTCTTTTATGTCCGATCGTTTTGTATTGAATTTAATTTTTCATTATTATTTAACATTCAATTAATCTGTATTAAAAAATGTTTGTTTGATAATTAATTTTATTCTTGTTCTCGCACCGCAAATAATTTAAATGAGCAATTTTATCTGCCCAGCTTTTTTTGTGACTTTTAATTATTTTCTTTAGGCTTGATTAAACTTTTATGAACTCATTAATTATTTTTTATAACAATGTGAAAAGACCAAAAACTGCGTTGAGCCTGCATTCAAAGTGATTAATAATGAATATATATTTATGCAAGCATAAATTATCTTTTGGCCAATTTATTATTATAAATATATGCATAGTAAAAATAGACAAAAACTGGGCCACGTTTGAGTAAACAATTTTGATTGCTTTCGGAACCTTTTTGTTCGGGTCTAACGAGCAAAGTAAATTAGATAGCAAGAAAGAAAAAAATGAATTCTTGTTTTGCCGAGTTTCTATTTGCAACATTTAAAATAATTAAAATGCCACATAAGAAATGTTGCTCTGAACACAGCAACCTTTTGGGCTCTTTGTGGAAGAGTTGTGAAGGAAGAGTGCCGAGAGCTTGGGTGTGGGGGCTTTAACACAGTCAGCTTTTGGCTCTGACCCGCCGCAAATATTAGAAAGACACAACAACTAGAAGAGGGCGACCATAAAAAGGGCAGCTAGCAAAAATTGTAGGCGCTAAGCAAGATTTATGAGGCCCTCAGGGCCAAGGCAGCGAACCAGTGGGGCAGTGGGGGAGTGGGGGTGTGGCATTGGCATTGGCATTGCTCTCGCTGAAGGGCCATTATTTGTTTTAACTGTGCGCTTTGCTGCAAAGTCTGCGGCTACACATTTCAATAATTTAAAGTATTTGAGCATTTCGAGGCAATTTGCTTAATGGTCCTGTGCCACGCCTCTCTCCGCCGTCCAACCGACCCACCAGCCCAATGCCCGCCGCAAACCGTGCACCCTCCCCAAAGGGTTTGTCGGGCGCAAAAGCTCATAAATAAGCCAAGTGTCCAAGGCAGAAAGCTTTAAGATGTTTTTGCCCCAAAAGAATAGAGAGCTAACTACAGTGGCAAGAAGCTGCTGGCCAGAACATGTGTAGCAGCTGCTGTTGATGTGTGTGTGTGTGTGTGTGTGTGCGTCAGCGTGTTCGTTGCACAACAGTTCAAGGCCGTTGCAAGTTGCAACCCAATTACGCAAAAAAAAAAAAAGCGTAGCTGAAAACGCACGCAGCTGCAACCTTTGAACCTTTCGAAACGAGCGTGCCTCAAAACCCAATCGATAGAGCGTTGTGCAAGCTAAGCGAGCTCAAAAAGTGTAATTGGTGTGGATATAAGGGTATATATTTATATATTGTATGCATACATAATAAGATATAAGTCTGCCAAAAAGTAATACATTATGTAAAAACTTAAATTCTGTATTGTAAGCTTTAAGTTTCTCTCATCTGACTTAAAGTAGTTCAAAGTTTGACGGGAGATATTTTTTTTTTTTTTTTTTTGAATGCCAATGTTTTTTGTACAGACAGACACAAGGAGATGAGTTTTAAAGTCGTCTCATTTGAATTTTAGTTTCAAATTTAAAACTCAAGCTTTCAATGCTAAATGAAATTAGAGATGCAAGCGAAATTTATTCAGTGTGTATAAAGAAAGTAAGATACGGTTTCTTTTGGAAAGTTTTATTACTCTGAATAAAAGTTAAGACTTAAATTAAATTCATAGTTGACCAATTTTGACGGTGATTTGATTTGTGTGTTTAATTTAAAAAAAAATTAGAATTTGTATTACTTTAGTTGCTTAAATGCCAATTTCAAGAATGAAATTATAATATTGATATTATTTCAAATATATTTATAAATTATTTTAAACTTTAATTTGCCCGATTAACGTATATAGAATTGTTAGGTTTAATTTTTTTGTCAGTTAGAACTTTTCTATATTATTTAAGCCCCCAAATTCGCGGAATTCGAATGCTTAGCCATTAACAATAACAATTAACAAAAATTTAACAAAAGCAAAACATTTAATTCTTTTTTGTACACAAAATTGAACATGGTCCTAACAGAACGAAACTACGATTGTATTGAATAAAAAAAAGTTCAAAGTTCAAGGATGGGATAACCGTAGATTTTAACCGTAGGGCTTAATAGCCTAATGGGATTTGCTTTGATGAGCTTAAATCTGATAATTATCACAATATATGCAGATATTCAGCACAACATTTACGAGACTCTTAGAACAGACCTCACCCCGAACCAAATCTGCCTTTTTCATAACCCTTTGTAGCCCTCTTTGAAATGTGTGTGCAACATGCATAAAAGTATGAAACAGCTTGAGCTCTACGGTCTACGCTCTAGCGAGCTAGACAAGTTGGAGGCAGCTGCCTTCCACATGCTGGCGCTGCTGAGCTGTAGTCAAAGTTGTGGCGTGCCGTGGAATTCCTTGTTGATGCCACAAGCCAAAGCAAAAAGATAAACACGCCACAAAATGTGCCAATGCCAATTGTCGAAAGGGGGCAAGGCACAGTACGGTTAGCTAGGGTTAACTGTAACACTAAAACACACACACACATACGCAGTCGAACACACATACACAGTCACATGGGATGCACAACGTTCAAGGACATGCAGCGAGAGCTGCCTGCATTTGTATATGTAAGTCACGAGGTTTTCTGAATGTTTTCTTTTTTCTTTTTTTTTTTAGTTTACGGCGCCTGCAGGTTATGCAACACCTTTTTGTTGCCACATTTTATTATTCATCATCTTCTGCACGTTGTTGTTGTTGTTGGTGTTGTTGCTGCTGTTAATTTGTTTAGCTAATTTTATGAATAGGCGAGCTAGAGACGCGCACACACACACACACGCAGCATTTCGTGACGTCAAAAATGTTGGCAGAATTGCACGCTCTCTATCTCTCTCTCCCTCGCTTCAGCTCCCGCTCTCGTTTGCTCCTTGTGCGTGCGTATTAGAGCAGCTGTGCGCTGTATCTGTATCTGTATTTGTGTATGTATTTATAAATATGTATTTATGTGTGCGTCTCTCAGTGTGTGTGCGTGTTTTCACTTTCGCTTTTTCATTGATTTTTTTTAAGCGCGCATTGTGTGGCATGCCACACACACACACATACACACGCACATTTATGTTACTATTTTGTTGGAGCTTTTTTGGTTGCCTTTAAACAGCTTCCACTGTTAACTTGTTTCACTTTCATCTAAGCACAACACGCCTACACACACATACATACGTGTACGCACTCTCTCACACACACACACACACGCGCGCTGCGTCGTCTTTTGAGATTGGCCGCTAACGTCGCACAGCGTTCGCTGCCAAAACTAAACTGAACTCGTGCCACGCTGCCACATCGCATGTGACCAGCGTGCTGCTTGTGGCAACAGCAGCGTCAGCAGCAGCAGCAGCAGCAAAAGCAGCGGCAGCGCCAGCACTCGTAGCAGCAGCGAAAATACTGGTAACAGTTTTCCACAGCGGCGCAGGCGCAATTTTCCATAGAAGATTTGTGCCTTGCCTCGACACTTGTGCTCCACTGTCACAGTTCACGTCACACTGTTGCTGCCTGCTCCTCGGCCTCTCGCACACATCTTTGTTGTTTACATTGTTTTGGTGCCGCCCTCGAGTATGCTAGGCAGTGTAAATAAAATTACGCATACGCCACGTGCTGCGACAAGTTGTTAGCCCAGCTACAACTTAGACAAGCTCTGCATTAAAATTAATGCACTTTTGCTGCTCTCCTATAATATATAAGGGATATACGAATCTTGTAATATATTTTTATATTTTTATTTATATCTTTGGCAATTCCATTTTTATTTCAAATCCGCCTCAATGCACTTGACGCCCATTGAAAAGCCTGAAGCGTGAGCCAAGACACTGCACAGAATTACGACTCAATTTACAGAAATTGAACAAAGCAGACCATGGCACTCGCTCCCACACACACACACACACACACACACATACACAGAGAGTGGGAGTCACACGTGTGAGCTGCGTGTGTCCTTTTGCTGCTGTTGTGTGGGTCGACAACAATTTTTACGCTGATTGGTTTCAACTCACTTTTTCACAGTGTTTTTATTTTTCTTGTACTCTTGCTGGCAAACATTTTCGAAATGGGGTATATGGGAATGTGAGAAGAGTTTATGAAAGTTAGAAAAAGTAGAGTATGGAATGTAGACTTCGGCTGTGATGAAATGAGATCTATAGTAATATGAAAGTTAGAATGATATAGCGTAGTAGATAGGCTAGATTGATGATGATGAGCGAGCTGAAGGCGTCAACAATTGTTAACTCTTAGATATATGATACATAGATAGGAAACTTAAAATAGCTATCCAGAACTACGAACATCAAGAACTAACGAAATGCTTCGAGAGCTGAAGAGACCTATAGAATTAGTTGAAAATCATGCTGACGACTTATAAAACTCTAGACTTGACTCAAAGAGCTTCAGAGAGAGTTTTAGAGCTCCAGAGTTAATAATGTTTAAGAACTGAAGTAATATAATCAAAATATCGACTCACATCTACAATCTATTGTACATCTTCGACTACTCTAACATCTTTATCTTCACACATGTATAAACACTGCAATTTGCGGCGTATCTGTTAGTTGTTCATTCCCTAAAAGTTCTCTTGTAGTTGATTTTCAGCTTTTGACGAAAAAGTCAACGAGCCAAAGCCAAATGTCAGCTTACCCCGCTCAGCACCCGGCCCCTGCTTAAGCCCATTCCTCCCTACCGACCAATTTTTCTACTCTCATGATACGGGTCACTGTGCCGGCGCCTTGAAGCACTTTTGGAATTTAATAATGAAATAGCCTCAATTTTCTGGCCAAGCTCCTGTTGAGCAGTTTGCTTGGCCAAACAATTTTCAATTTTTCAATTTGTGACTTTTTCGTTGATAAATTCCATTCGAACAGATGATGAAAAAACTTTTTTTTTTTTTTTTTTTTTTTTGCTCGAAAGCAAAAATGTTGCAATGCTGCAACTGAAACAGAAATTGAAATCAGAGTTGGCATTTGGCAATTGCAGTTGGCATTAACTGAAATAAATCATTCGATTACCAACATTCCTAATAACTAATTAAAACTTGAATGCAGTGCGAATAAGTTCATTGAATTTAATTGCATTTCAGCTGAATTTTATTCTGCCGCCGGCTGAAATGTCCAGCTACACGCACAGTGGCACATAATAAACAATAAAATGTAAAAATAAACGACAATTGATACACTGGGGCGTGGCACTACATATGTCGTGTGGAGGGAGGCGTTTCACATTGATTTTTTATCAATGATGAATGACAGTCGAGTCACAGTTGACAGCCAATGACAGTGACAGTGACAGTGTGTATGGATGTATGTGCGTGTGGGTGTGTGAGAGTGTGTGTATGTGCATGTGCCAGCTACTTATAGTCCACGCTCTTTACTAAAAATATCCGTCATTTTGACGTCTTTTATAATCATAAATTTGTTGTAGCCTCAATCGAAATGTGTTTTGTATGCCTAAAATTGATTTTGCATTAAAAATTAATAGCTCGATTACAAAATTTGTTGTAAACATATTATGAGCAGTTTGGAATGATGGAACTATATTAATGTGTAAAGAATTGAATTTGTTTAATCAATTGTGATTAGAATTTGGAATATTGTCATTTAAAATGAGAAATATATATAACAGGCGAAAGAAGGCGTGGCATAACACATAAAGTATTTGTGTATGAGCACTACAATCTAGCTGTCCGTCTGCTGCTCTACATAAGATACAGAGTATTTTCTAGTCATAGTCATTTGATTACTTATTTTATTGTAATTTCCAATAAAATATATTATAATCATATTGCTTCCTCGCAGTTAGGTCAGTCGAATAACCCATCAACTTCTTTTATGCTTCAATCATTTGTGCTTTTTGCTTGGCCAATTTGCAGCACGTTCGCAGTTTTATGGCCACAGTTCGCTTGCCAGCTTGTTGTTGCAAGTGGCGCAGTCAAGGAGCTTTAGCTCTTTGGCTCTATTTGTTGAGCGTTGAGGACAAGTTTTGCTATCTTAGCCAAGTTGCTCATTAGACGCAACGCAGCACAAGTGGCAGCTAAAGACTCACACTTGAATTTATTATCGCCTTTGATATGCTGCTCGGGTGTGTTTGAGTGGGTGTGTGAATGTGTGATGTGTATATGTGTGTATGTGTGTGTGTGTGTGTGGGCGCACTTACACTTAATTGAATCCTGCGGGCAAAACTCTAAGCCCCATGGCATGCGGCATGCCAAAGCGTTTAGTGGCCAACCGCCGCCCGCAGCTTTGTTGCTCGTGCTGCCTCAACTGCTACTGTTTCAGCTCCTTTCTGCTGCTGCTCCTGCTACAACTCCTGCTCCTTTCTGCTGTTGCTCACATTCTACATCCTGCAGCGCCTCTAATTCAATTAGCAGGTTCAGCGCCAAAAACGGCAAATGGCTCGTTAAACACGCTCTGTGTGTTTTTGCAGTTACCACCATCTACACACACACACACACACACACACACACACACACACACACACACACACACACACACACACACACACACACACACACACACACACACACACACACAACTACACATACATAGACTCTTACTTAATGCCACTTCACTTGTCTACTCCTCGTTTTTTTAACATGTTTTATTAGATTTTCTTTCCTGTTTTTTATTCCATTTTCCATTTTATTTTACTTTATTTTGTTCGCCTTAGTCGGCGCCATTTTTATGCAAACGGAAGTTCTCACACACATACGTCGCTCCATTGTGTGTGTAATGAGCAAAATGTTACAAATTGCCAAAAACTCTGTCTCCCACCGCCTTTTGTGTTTGCTTTGGCAGATAATGCAGGAAAAATCTTTTGCCGTGGCCGTTGGCCCGTGGTCAGTGAAGCATCCACCGAATGTTGTTGCCCCCGAACACACCCTCACATACACACACACACACACATGTGATATACAGCTTCCTGCCCGCTGCGGGCCATAATTATGAGCTATGCAAATAATGTAGCCCCAACATGCTCAACTCCGAACTCTGAAACCCCCGAACGCAAACCATTTCCCTTTTGACACGATAAATCGTTGTGCTTTTTACCCATTTACACATTTTACACAAATAACTCGAGCAAATTGTTCACTTCAGCTGACCAAATGTATTTAATGTGATAAAAAAGACCAGGGAATGCCAGGGATTGCCAGAGTGAATTCGGCAAAGAGCTTGGTAGCCTTTATGAGGAGAAGAAAAAGAGATGCCTAGAATTGAATGTGCATGGAGGTGATCAGGCAATCATTCAGTGGGCCAGACCAACTTTTAAAGCATTCAGAAGTTTTCTACTCGGCTTTTGCGATACTTCTTCCACAGCCAAGCAAAGTTCTAAATGTCTCTAGTTCTCTCGTAGCTTGCATTGAATTTCTTTTGAAAACTGCAACGCCTCTCTGTGCGCTCTTCATGCACAATCGAAGCACATGTATAGCTGAAAGGATAATAGATTGAACAGACAGTCAATCAATTGAAAGGCTTTAAAAACTTTGCTCTTAAAGCTTACAGCTTAAAGGCTTAGCTGATAGGCTGAGAGACTGAGCTACAAAATATTTCAGAACTTTTGTAAACAAATGTTAGTTAGATTCCCATCCTTCTTTTCGTTCCTTTCTATGTGCTTCTCACGAAATGCTGTTAAAGACCTATAGACGATTGAACTATAAGGCAGTCCAGAATAAAGTCATTCAGTCAATTGAAAAAACTTTCAGAACTTTGCTCTAAAAACTTTCATATTAAAGATGAAGTTTACTTGGCTTATTCCGTATTCATAAAATGGCTTTCAAGGTATTCAAATTTTCTCGAATGCAGAACGCAAAAGCAAACTCAATTTGTATCTAGTTCACATGCAAATTTATATATTTTTTTTCTTCTATGAGAAACGCTGCAGCTGTTGCAGCTCTCTATGCGCTTCTCATACAGTGAAGCTGCTAACCATAATCGCCTTTCCCTTTTACGCTCCATATGGCCGCAGAGTTAACGCTGTGTGGCTGCATTCCATTTTTGGGTTCTTTGATTTTTCGCCTCTGTTCGATCTTTGCTCCGCACACCCCATAATTTCCATCCAGCTTTTGCCTTTTACGTCCACTCTTTTCGGCCGCGTTTTTATGCAGCTGTTGCAACAAAAGTCCATTATCCTTTTTGGCGTTATCGGTAATCAATTTCAGTGGCCAAATACACACACACACACTCAGCAAGCGAAAAAAAAGTTTTTAGCTTTTTTTTGACAGCTTTTTCGACCAGCGGCGCACAAAAGCGACGTCAGCGAGAGGCAACAACG